CCCATACTTTTGTAAACCGTTGGAGTCGCATTGTTAGCGAACTACCATCTTATTAATGAAATTTGAGCATTTATCTTTTTGTGGGCAAAATTTTAGCTTTTATGGCAATATTTGAAACAAAGTTAAAAAGTATTTCTATTTTGAAATGTGTCATGAATACTGGAAGGAATATTAACAGTTGTTCTGAGGATTGTTAAGCCATGAAATGCAAAATGATACAGTAATTCATCCTTGCATGATGAATATGTTTTCGTTCAAAATCGTCATGAGGTGTTGGTTGTGTAATCTTATGTTTCTAGTAGAGTACTAAACTTGGTGACTCCCCATCAATTCCGGTTAAGCTTTGTTTCGGTTATCTCTAATTGAGCAAATTTCTGAAGGGTCATATGTTTTGTATCATGTCAGTGGTCTATTGGTGTTGGAAGATTGGATCTGAATACCTTTCTCACCAGAAAGACTTGAGCCTTGTAGTATGATATGCTCTGACGTTGCCTTTTGTTCCAGTTCCAATTATTTTTTGTCTCTTTGAGATTGGCTGAGTATCTAACTTTTTTTGTGATATCTTATCATCTTCAATTTATTTCCTCTATCTATTTTGTCAGCATACACATGACATTCATTTACTCATTTACACTTATATCATGCATACACATTCACATTTGTCGGTGATTTTGGGTTCATATGCCTTGTTTATGTCTGTTCACGCAACATATCCACTCTTTCCAAATAGAATGTCAACTTAGGCAGAAAGTGCGCCTTCCTTTCTAATTCCCCATCTGAGCTAATCCTCGTGGATGAATTTTTGATTTAGCCTTCCTTGTCCATCTCTGGATAGGGTGAATCCCCAAGTGGGTTATTTTCTCATTGGGTGGAGTCTTGTTTGACTGTCTTCTCTCTGGTTTATTCCTGGATTGAGTTTTGTCTCTTGCATAGGCTATCTCGTGGTTTTCTCCAGGCTAGGCAACCTAGATGAATGGTGCATTTATTTTGCGCATTTAAGTATCTGATCTCCTCAGGAAGGATCTATTCATGGTTCCCTTTGAAGAAGAATTTTATTCCCTGACAGTGTTATCACAACTTTCTTCTGAAACATCTCTGGAAAACGACAAGCGGCGGTCTCTTCATAAGCAAATTGTGCGTTATTGACATCTTTAGAAAACGACAAGCGGCAGTCTCTTCATGAGCAACTTGTGCGTTGTTGACATCTTTGGAAAATGATAAGCGGCGGTCTCTTCATGAGCAACTTGTATGTTATTGACATCTTTGGAAAACGACAAGCGGCGGTCTCTTCATGAGCAACTTGTGCGTTATTGACATCTTTAGAAAACGACAAACGGCGGTCTCTTCATGAACAACTTGTGCGTTATTGACATCTTTGGAAAATAACAAGCGGCGGTCTCTTCATGAGCAACTTGTGCGTTATTGACACCTTTGGAAAACGACAAATGACGGTCTCTTTATTTGAGCAACTTGGGTGTTATAGTTTTCTTGGAAGACATCAAGTGGCGGCTTCTTTATTTGAGCAGCTTGTATGTTATAGACATCCTTTGAAGACAACAAGTGGTAGCTTCTTTATTTGAGCAGTTTGTATGTTATAAACATCCTTTGAAGACAGCAAGTGGTGGCTTCTTTATTTGAGCAGCTTGTGTATCTACAACCATATGTTATTTCAACATCAAATGGTATCTCTCCGGAAAAATCTCGCAGAGAAGTTTGTTGTCAAATCTCTACCTTCAGAAGTCGGTAGTTCACAATCAGCAAAAGTTGATACATCTTTTGTCTATCTTTGACCTTGAGTTGTGGACTTACCATCATCTTAGGTCAATAATCATCCTTTTTTTTTGTGGCCCGTGTAAGGCGTCTTCTTTGTTAGGGTCAGGATTTGTTTTCTCTTAAATTTTATTCTACGTTAAGAGTCTATCATTCGAAGTCGATGGCTCATTTCCCCAGTAGTGTATAATCTCTGTTCCTGTGAGTTATTTGTGCTTAGCTTCTCCAGCATTATTTTGTCTCGTACAATATCATTCTCCATAAAGCTCAAATACCACATTCATATCATAATCATAATGGGGGTATCTTAGGGCAAAAATTGCGTATTATATATTTAAGTACCTTCAATCTCGTCGAGACGAAGATTTCAATCTTCATATCTCTGGATAGAAGAAACTTAAATAGGGGCAGCTGTCATACCCCAAATTTTTACCTAAGATCCCTGCTTCATTTGCATTGTTTTGTATATACATCAAGGTCACAGAATATGGTAGGTTTCGAACGTTTCGCTTTCAAGCTTTGACTGTGTAGAGATTATCGAGTGTTGTGAGCATTTTTATCTTATTAATGACTAACCACTACTCAAGCACGAAGTGTATGTTTTGTTGTTTTGTTTTCATGTGCAGGAAATAGGTCTGAAAGAAGAGCATCGAACGTTGCACATCAATTAGGGTTTCGAGTCTCGGGGTAGAAATGCGGTCGGTCGTTAATTCTCAAAAGTTGATTCATCAAAAGAATTTCAGAGAATTGTGTGTTTATTTCCATACTCTATCCAACAGATGGTCTCCAGCTTCTCTGAATATTTTTCAGAAAGAACGATCGAAGTTTTACTATCTTTGGTTAATGTGTGTTTCAAATTATTTTAAAATACAAGAAAATCAAGTTATGCCAGTCATTTTCGATCATTTCGACCAAAAGTCATCTGCAAATTTTCTCATGACGCGGAGTGAATTTCGTCAAAATGGAATGATTAAATTCAAAACCGTTCTAGAAGAATTTATTTGGAATATTTGGAATTTTCTTTATTTGAATTCAAGTGACAATTAAAGAGGAGCTACCAAGAGATCTCACTCAAGAATAATCATTTATCGCATGAAATATTTATTCAAGATTATTTTTGTGATTATTTTGGTGGATTTACATTATGGTTATTTGAACACACATGAAACACTTATTCAAGAAGATATTGGGAAAAGAAATTCGATCCAATTAATCGTTCATCAGAAGATTAATTACATGAGGATTTCTATTTGATTACAAAATCAATTCATGTGATTTATTGGATCTCTATTACAAAATGCAAGATTAAAGTCTAAGACTTGCATTATTATTTATTCATCATTTAACAATTTATTCAAGTATTGTTCAATTCTTTCCCAATTCAAATGGAAGACCTTGAATTTTTATCAAGACATATCAAGATTCATTTTCATATGAAGATTCAAAGTTATTTATAATTACAAGGGAATTGAGAATATATTGAAGAATACATGTTCATTCATGTTATAATTTACTTGGATATATTGTTTCAAAGTTACAAAAGAAATACAAATTTTGTGCATGAAAATCAAGCTATTATTCTTGCTACAAAACAATCCCAATGCTGCCCATTTTCCAGCACTGTTTTAATCCAATAACAGTCCAATTTTTGAGAGTAATGCTGTCCATTTTCTCCAACCTTGTTTCAACAAAGACCATGCCAAGCTGCTGTCCTAATCTGCCCTGCAAAACAATCCAGAATGCAGCCAATAAGACAAAAATATGCACTTTTGTTGCTATAAAAACAGTCTACAAAACTCCAAATATTGCACTAAAATGTATACTTCAAAAAGCTATCTCATAAAACATCAAAACAGGGCCTAAAATAGTTCAAACCTTTACTGTTCCCCCCCCCCCCTAAAATCCCACACATTTCACTATAAATAGAGGCCTCCATCAACACAAAAAGGGAGACAAGAAGAGAAACCAAAAAAATTCAGCAAGAGGGTAAAAACAAAAAGAGAGTTTTGTTCCAAAAATTCAGCAAGAAAAAAACAGAAAGGGAGCTTTTGTTCCAAAAACTCAGTAGATAGGAAAAATCAGAAGAACATAGCAAACTCAAGGAGAGAAACTTACTATCTTTTAGAAGCCCCATCGGAGAGGCTCCGATAGGTATTATTTTCTTCTTCCTCTCTATCTACTTCTGCATATATTCATGTTTGAATCATCTTCTGCGCCATTTTTCTGCCATACGATGCTTGCCTCATCATACTTTCTTTGCTGTATTTTCTTTGAGTTGCTGCATTTTATTAGCATTTAAATTTGTTTAGAATTCATAGTAATAATAACAATGTGGATGAAACGTACGAAAATAACTGTACCATATTTATCAGCCTCTTTCAACTTTCTTTGACTTCTTCAACTGCGAACACTTCCAACATCTGTATTCATATATAAGCCAAATATTATCAGAAACCATCAACTCCTAAAATAACTCAGCATACAAGAATATCAACTGTAAAATACTCCAGACTAAAAAAAAAACAGATCAAAACTTACTAAAATCAGCAAATGATTCCCCTCCATCTTCTCAGTCTAACCATCTTTCCGTTCAACCATCTATCGCCCCTGCTTCCAGCGACCCATTTTCTCTTCGATCTCGCTCGCAGAACCTGTCAACCATACAAAACAAATTTAGAACAAGAAACAACCATCACAGAGAGATATAAACTGAAACATTCCATAATCCATATTTTTGCCTCTCAAATACACAGCAACTACACGATTAAAAAAACTAAATACATACACACGGTTCTACCCACAATACACAGTCACACGGTTCTACCCACAATACATAGTCACACGGTTCTAATCACAATTCATTCACAGCAATACACAAGAAACTCAGAAAACCATGACAAAAAGCTTCAAAGGAAGCTCACCTTTCAATTTTCAAAGCCTCTCTATACTCTGCAACTTTAATCCTTTTTATCTCAGCAAACAAAACTGCAACATCACATCCGACACATACCACCACCTTCCTCCATTCATTCTTTTTCCGCGAGGTTTCATTGGAAATGGTTGATGTTGGAACAAATTGATGCTTCCGGTGACAATTTGGACAACATTGTGGTTTCATCGGACTCAACTGATGTTGAGAAATCCAAACCCAAGAGCGATCAGAATCTGAACACCAACGGTGTTCCCACTGTTGTTGTTCCAATGGTAATCATGGGTTCAAGAGTCATCAGATGGGTCAGATGCATGGAAATGGTGTTCAGAATCAGATTCTGGTTGTTAACCATGGGGGCGAGAGTTTCAAGCGTGAAATGAGGGATTTGGAGGAGTTGTTGTCAAAATTGAATTCGTTGGCCGAGGAATTTGTTCCTCCGTCACTGATAACTAATTATCAGGGATATTTAGCTGCCGGACCTAATGCTGGGTTTGGTTACCGTAACAATTATATGATTCAGAACAACAGTTCTGTCGATGCCAATGGACAAATTAATAAAGGAGGGAGGAATCAGAAATTTTGGTTGTTTGTTCATTCGTGAAGTCAGAAGGTTTCCTGGTTTTAAGAGAAGAATTGTCATGAAATTAGAAGAAGTTTAGCAAGAGAGAGAAAGAGAATCGCTTATTTTCAACGTTTCTTGTTAATTGCTTTTTTGTTGGAATTCACAATAATGTAATCAATCTGTTTTCCTCTTTCCAACGTGATAACAAGCAGCCTCCGCGCCTTCCTTGTTTCCTTAGGGTTTCGAAAACCCTTCTTTTTCTCCAAGGGCCAGTTCGGGTTTGGGCCTAAATTTAGAGCCCAACCCGATTGTTCTAGTTTTTTTTTATATTTTTGCTTAGAGATTACATAACAGAAAGATGTCAATGGTTTAGTGGTTGGGCCAAAAAGCTGTAATTTAAAGAAGCTAAGTTCGATCCTTGGTGGGGACGTTTTTTTTTTTTTGCTCTTTTGCCCTTCTTCTTTTTTTTCAATTCCTTTGAAACTTGATTATATATAGTTTAGGTTATAACTATTAGTTAATTACAAAACACATAAAAAACATGCTTTTATAATTTAATCTTTATTTAATTTTTGTTATTAATCTTTTATTATTTAATTATTCAAAAATACATGTTTCATAATTTAGTTCCTGTTATTTGTTTAATTGTTAAAAAATACATGCTATTGTAATTTAGTCTTTATGTAGTTTTGGTTATTTACTTAATCATTTAAAATGCATGCTAGTATAATTTAATCTTCATTATTTAACTGTTCAATTGTCATTTTAATTAATTTTGTCATCGATCTTTAATCTTTATATCTTTCGTCCGTCTCAAATCCAAGGGAAATGTTTTAACTTTGTTGACTTCACGTCATCAAACACGTCTCATATAATCGTGCGAATACCCTCATTCATCTTTCGTTTGTTTATCATTTTGTTAAAACTTAAGATAATTTTCCCAAAGATTCAATTTTCAAACTCACACCTTTTAAGTCAAAACTTCTACATTAGGTCGTCGTATCTTTGAAATCTCATCCGCACCCATTTTTAGCCAAACAAATTATTTTAATCAAACAAACAATTTTAATAAACAGATATTTCAAAAGGATCCTATAGGATACTATAGATGCATTGGGTGGTAATACCTTCCCATTGTATAACCAACCCCCGAACTCTAGATCTCTTTTCAAAATGCATTGTATTTTTCATGACTTTCAAGTATTATTTTATATTGCATATTTTAGGGTTTTATTTCACTCTTTTCCCTTTTCCCTTGGAAATAACAAAGCGCGATGGAGACTCTTGCTTTTGTGAGACGAGTTAATTAATAGCTCGATCTCCGATTTACCCTGCTACATTTTTTATCGCTATAATTAACACCCTAAACATCACGGTACTCCACAGGAACCTCTTTGTAAAATCTGTATATTTTGGCTATAAAAATGTGTTGTATAAAAAATGGATGGTGGAGGTGAGAAGAGAAATATTTTTTAAATGATTTTTGCACCCGCCGCGGTTGTGAATCTTTAGTTCCTACGTACCACCTTTCGTGCAATAGGGAATCAGGGTACACGTAGTTCCTCTTTTAAAAATTTGAAACACAAGTGTGTTGGTTGATTTTAAGAGATAAAACATCATCGTCATTATCCGTGTGGAAAAACATACTTACTTCCCACAATCATGATAAAGGAGAATTTGCATCATCTCAAAGTGGAGGATATGGCTTGGATTTTAAAATCAACAATGCCTCACTCAACACCCAAGAGGAAAATATCTCACTTCACTACATATTGTAGAAGTATAGTTGCTTGCATCACTACAAGGATTTACAAGAGTTTAATCTTTTAAGAAAAGTTTAAAGATAAAAGCCAAAGTGGTAAAATGGTTTGAAATGAGATTGATTGACTTTTAGTCTTCTCACAAAAAAAAAGTCAAGGTATTATTAAGTTGATTGAATTTTATTGATGAAAATGTTTTGGAAATGCATGGACATAAGTCCAAGTTTATTATGAAAGTAGTTTAAGTTTCAAAACAAGAAGAGTTTAAAAAGGAGGAAGAAGATTTTTGAAATTAAAGAAGATGGGAGGAGAAGAAGAGACTATCCTAAAGCATAAGGTAAAAGCTAGGGATAAGAAACATCTAACCAAAAAGAAGCCAAAAACTTGACATTATGAGCCAAGATAGAATTCCCATTCTTTGGATTGGAACCAACCAAGCAAGGATACTAGACCTCTTGAGAGAACCAAACTTCAGGTGTATTAAGTTTTCACAAAAATTGGGCAGAGTAACGGCTGTATACGAGTGAATTCAAGATTACAAACAAAGAGTGTAATCACAAAAACCTACACACAAAAACAAACAGGCAACCCAATGTCTTGAGGTAAACCTCAAGAACTCCAAACAAAATAATCAGATAAGATCACAAGGTCTCCAAGATAGGCCAAGGTTTCTAATCCTAAGTCCAAGAAATAGTCCCATGCTCCATAATGCCAAGGATAGTAACCAAATAGTCTAAGTACCATTAAGAGTTTTTTAGGGTTTATGTTGATTATTAAGTATCTTAAGAAAAGAAAAGAAAAGCTCAAGTGAGCAAAGTAAAATGGCAAGAAAATAAACGCTCAAATGAGCAAAGATGAAAATGGCATGAAATGTAAATGCTAAAAGATAAATAGTACATAAAGCATAAAAAAGAATAAAAGCATAAGATAAAACAAGTCAATAATTAGTGGTTAGTTGGATGACCATCTTGAAACTTGCATTTGGAACTCATTAGAGGATTGGTAGAACCAAAGCCTCCACACAACAAGTTGCATTTGCTTTTTGTCAAGTATATCATCCATTTGGAATTCTCACAAGTACTGTTTAATGATCAACGATGTTTAAGTGATCCGTGTTGACCAAAGGTGTTGTAGATCCATTAGAGGATTGGTAGAACCAAAGCCTCCACACAATGAATCTCAAGGTTATTGGATCAAAGAGATCAAATTAACATACTTGGGCTTGCAATCATAAGTTTGGGCCACAAATGATCATTTATTAGAATTGGGACAAAATTTAGCGCTATGTTAAGCAATCGTAAGTGGACTTATATAAGTCACACCTATTTTGAGGCCGGTCAATAGAAATCTATGCACCATTTGTTTTGAGACATGATATAGAGATCATGCTCCAACAACATTTAGTGCAATAAGAAGGGGATGAGATGAAGAGGGATAGGGTAAAAAATGAATAAACCACTTTTGAATTAAAAATTTAATTAAACTATTATTAAAATCATTCATCCATTTTTTGTGGAGTTAAACTCAACACCATGGATCCAATGATGTTAATAAAGTCATGATAAAAAAATCAACTCAAGACAGCCAGAAAATAATCACAAAATAATATCACATTTAATATATACAATAAAAAGGTTAAAAAAAGTTTTAAAAATAAAAACTAATGAGAAAAATATCAATTATGTTCAAATTAATCAAGAAATGAAAAATAAGGCCATAGAAAAATCTGAAATGGATCCAAATATTTTTATAAAATTTTTGGTAAATTTTAAAAGTCAGAAACTATTTTTAAACTATTTAAAATTGTTAAAACAAACATAAAATAGGCCAAAAATAGTAAACCTCAATATAAAATTCCATAAAATTTTCAGAAAGTTAAAAACATGCAAAATAATGTTTATGAATTTTTTCAGAATTAATAAATGTCAGAAAGTATTTTTTAAGTAATTAAAATAAAGAAAATAATACAAAAAATATAAAAAATACCAAACTTTAAAATAAAAATGTGAAAAAATATTCATGAGATCAGAAATAATTCAAAGTATTTTTGTGAATTTTTTCATAATTTTTGGATAAAAAATAAAAGAGTTATGAATTTTTGAAAATTTAATCAATAAAAATATAAAATCAGAAAATAAAATAAAACCAAAAAGATGTGGACCATCAGATCATAGTCAAAACACGTTAGTAAGCTAATCCGATGGACCAGACGCGCTGTGCTTGATATGGACCTTAGTGAAACACACATGTGATCAGAAAAAGGGCAACCAATGAAATTAAAACGTTTGGCACGCTATCATTGGCTGAGACGAGACATGTCATCGTCTTCAACCTCCAGACACCCTGCAATGGGATTTTATGAGATCCTTCAAATGGAAAAATTAGGATCCTAGGCTAGCATCATTGAACTCGTCTCTTCAAGACGATTCTAACACAACTATCGCGCCAAATTTATATAAGGTATGGAGAGAGATATGAATCAAAAACCCAGAAAATAGAGAGCACCTTCAATTTGAGATTTCTCTCTCAATTCTCAATGAATTTAAAAATTGTAAGCAGCATTAGAATCAGGTGAAGGAGTAGAATAAATTAGTGCTTGATTTGGATCCAAATGGTGGAGAATTCTACCTTTTCGAAGTTCAAGTAAGAAGCTCTGAAACTGGACTTCTGTAGCTTGAATTATGGCTCGTTTTGATTGGTTTGAGTGCTGGAGAGTTTGTATGATTCTCAAGGATGATGAATGCGCAAAGAATTTTGGAAAAGGAAGCTTAAATTTCAGAAATTGAATTAAAAAAAAAGTGGGTTCGTGTGAGGTTTTGGCAGGGTGTTCTTGGCTCTCTAAGCTTGGGAAAACGAATGGGATAATTCATGTATTTATAGGAGAAGCAAATGGGATCAAAAGAAAGAGTCAGTGATGCGTTTTGGAGGGAATTCGTGTGGGTCTGCATCATGAAGAAAGTGTGACTCAATTTTGATCAAAACTCAGCTAAGTCGTGCGTTTCATGATGCTAAACACTTTTGGGAAGTTACTAATCATGATTAGAAACAAAAACACGCACAAATCTTGTGTTTAGAAGTCACATTATGGATTTCAAAATTCTGACTTTGTGAAAAATTCAGTTTCAAGTTACCAAATTCAAATCCATGGCATTTCCAACTCAATGGATCTTATGGCATAATTCTTGATGCTTTGGAAAGATGAGGTTACAAGCTTTGCAATGGAAAAAGAATGGAATCAAATGGATGCTTGAGCTGAAAGTTACATGGAGTCAAAGTTGA